AATTTGTCTTGGTCCTTTACCAGTAAACTTATGCATATTTGCATCAAATTAAGCTCTAATTTCTAGTAAATAAAGAAAGAATGATCATTTTAAACAAAAACAAGTCAAGTTTTTTTTATAGGGTAAAAACATTTATACATTTTTAGCCAGGCTTTGCTAAAAGCAAAGTCCTGGCTGTAGGCATCATGATCGACTGTTTGACTATAACTAAAAGCACAGTAAACAAGAAAAAACCAAACAGCGCCAAAGCAGACGCTTCCAATAAACAAAATAGTCCCCTTGGCGAGAAGATATTCAGATAAATACTTTTACCAATCGTTCTAAATGTCAATGATAAATATTTTTGCTTGAGAATTAAACTGAAAGAGAAATTAGATATTTGCTTTATTGGGATAATCGTGATATAACAATTTGTGCACATACGCTGCTGAATGCATATTGTAAGCGAACTATTTTCAATAGCGCGGGCTTTTCGAAATGTTGAAATTGTTGAAGAGTTTCATGTTTCATATCGTTTTCGTCGATGTTATGTTAGTGGTTATATTCTGTTTTGATTTTTAGTAAATAAATAGTACACTGAAAGAAAAACCTAGTGAATTTAACTAGTGTGTTTCGTAAAGCGTTGGTCGTGATTAGTAAACTTTCAGTTTACTGGTTAAGATAGTGAGTTGTGGAGCGGGGGTCGTATAGATACTTAGATACCTAGTGAAAGTTACTCATCAATTCTAAATTTACTAATCTTATCTAGTAAATAGACCAATATCTGGTAAAACTACTATTAAGGTAGTGATTGTATGGACAGTGAATATACTAATTTTCTTCGTGACATTAACTAGTTATTTTTTTACAGTGTACAGTGAATTGGAATTTTAAGGATTAACATCGCTTGATAATGTACAGGTTTCAGTGTTTCTACATGTAGTTGGCGATAAAGGTACTGTTTGTTTGAAACTACAAGAATGTTTATTGAAATACACACGTGCGTTATTTTAACTATTCCAAGACTGAATTTTTAAATTATGAGAAATGCTTATTGAATAGAAAATATGCGAGAATTTCTTGGAAATATATTTATTAAATTTTAGAATCATAACATATCTAGGAGTCTGGACTGTTAATTTTAATTTCTGGTATATGGGATATTGTTTTACATCATAATCATACAAACTCTACCTATTAAAAATCAATGGCCAAAAGGAAAAAAATAAACAGACAATATACTCGAGCAATTAAAGCCCGGCTTTCAGTTCTTTCAATACTTTGATTTTGATTGGAGACAGTGGATTGGTTTTTCTTTGTAGACGATACGCAAAGATTTATTTCATAGAAGGAACAACAAATGTTTAAAACAAATATCGCTTACCTACTCTTGGTACATTTCATATCTTACACATGGTAAAATTAATGACATTTATTTCTGTTAGATATACTGAAAGGAAAAAGAAACGCAGGGTAACATTATATACGAAATGTTTTTGACTGCATGACAAAAAATTACGAAAATTGGTTAGATGAGAACCTTAGTGTTATATTCTAAAATCAGTGTTCAGAATTACTCAACCGTAAAATGAATGACGTCGCGTCGGCAATTGCTAAAAAGTCAAAAACACGTTCAAATTTGATAACGACAAGTTTGTCAACGATCTTCTTATACCATTTGATGCACTTGGGGTATACACATTGATGTTCAGTATTTGTAGACGAAATGCATTTCTTGCAATCTTGTAACAGTTCACGGGATATCCATGGGGGCTGGCTTTTACGTTTCCTAAATAAGGACAAAGGCAACAACGGTTCGTTGTGCAGTCGCTCGTAAATTTTCCCCATAGAACATCTCAACCGTCGTCAGAGAGGGCCTTAAATGGTTTTCAATCAAATCGTAACGATGACGTTGACTCGTAAAAGAGCCACGTCAAGAGCGGGTTATTCGTCCTGCCACCTGTTTAATCGCCATCTTGCTATCACAAAACTGCTATAAATAATGTAGGTTATCATAATCATTTACATTCACCATAAAACTGATAGAAACCGATTGCGCGATTTGGATCTTTGATCTGGTCAACTTTATGTTGGTGTTCCTACAAATGGCGCATGCGCGCATCGTTTGCAATTTTTTTGGGCGTGTTTACCTCCGGCCCATTGTAACCTGGGTTTATCAAGACTTTCAAGCAAACAATCACATTTACCTACTCAACTGGTCTCCGAAAAGTCCACCTTTTTCTCATTGAACATCTGTGGGACTGAGTGGAAGATAAGGTTCGAAATGCCGGAGATCGCCAATTTCAACTAAGGGTTAGCTTGTTGAAAAGGTTTTATTTGTAGGATAACACCACTAATGAACTTCACGCAAAGGAGAAACAAGACTTAATAGACAGATACGCGAAGGAGACATTGAAGAAAAAGGGAATTTTTAAAAATTTTTGGGGGGTATCGTTATATCAGTTTCAATAACTTACGAATTATGAGGCAAAGTCAAATGAAATTTAGTTACATTTTTATTAAGGATGATTGCAAAAGCTCAAAATCTTCTTGAAATATCGCTCTCGCCCGGAAACAATAGTGTTACACACAGACAGAATGTATAAATTTACGACCTTGAACTTTGACCTTTTGACCTCAAAATCGATAGGGGTCTTCAAGAGGCCACAGGGAGTTGTTATGTAAAATTTCATTGCAAAAGCTTAAAGGGTTCTTGAGATATCGCGGGGAAACGAAAGTGTTATAACAGACAGAATTTGCAAATTTATTACCTTGACCTTTGACCCTTTGACCTCAGAATCAATAGGGTTCTTTTTTAGTCCATAGGGAGTTGCTATGCAAAATTTCATTGCGAAAGCTCAAAGGGTTCTCGAGATATCGTGTGGAAACGAAAGCGTTACAGACAGACAGAAAGACGGACGGACAGACCCAAATTAATATCCCCCACTTTTCAAGCGGGGGACAAAAATGAAACAATGCGCAAAAACCAGGAAGACTTAGAAGCAGATACACTGTACCCAATAAAATGGCACAAAGACGGACACTTACAATATTGTACCTTATATTTGCTGGAGATTTGTACTTTACCTCTGGTAAGATATCTTAGTTTGGAGGAATTATAAAGAAATAAATTGTATCCTCATAAATCAAACTTCATGTATATTTCTCTTTAGTATTTTTACACTTATGGCATAATTCAGGCAAACTTTTGACACGTATTACAGAGCTATGAGTAGGAAATACCGGTAGTTCTGAAAATAAATAGATTTTTAAAATTGGAAACACTTTGTCTTTTTTTGTAGCAATGACAAGATACTTCTACCAGTGTGTGGACTCAGAAACGGATGGAAATTGTCAGACAAAAATACAAACAATGGCGAGGGCGGCGTGGTACTTCAAAAATCCTACCACATCTGACGAAGATATCGATAAAATAGATTTGTACAGGCAGTATGTTAAAAACTGCACGCTGTATCTACGAGATCCTAATGTCACGACCTGTGTCATCGAGACCTTTGAATAAATTTAGCCATGTAATGATATTTGGAAATGCAAAGCATGTAATCAATAATTGAATTCTGTAAATCAAACCTTTTTTTGAGAAAGGAATCTTAATAGGATATAATTTATCATAATTCACATTTAAAGCTTTAAAGCTCACTTGGATGCTTATATTAGTAGACGTATTATAACATATATGGCTAATATTGTATAAACATGTATGTTATAAATTAATGTGTTTCCTAATTTATTTCAAAGAACTATTTTAAAAATTATGTTAATAATTATCTAAGTATATTTACATCCACTGATTATTTTTTCCGTTATTTCTTATGAAGACCATTATATTGATCAGTGCATAAAAGACACTAATAAATACATGTAAGCAAGCCACGTGCATGAACAATGGCTGTTCTATCAGATATGCATATAATGGCGTATTCATCTCTAATATCGTACAATATTTAACACATTTAACTTTACTTTGATTTTTTTCTCATACAACTGGAAATATAAACAAAAAATGTCTTTCTTTGTTAGATCGGGAATCAATTCCCCCACTAACAACCAAAGACATTATTTAAATTACTGTCAGCCAAGACTATATATAGAGAGCTCTGTTCTGAATGTTGAAGGTCAAAAGAATTTCTTCGCAAGGGACTGTACAGATGAGGAAAATTTTGCTACTGAGTTTAAGGGATATCAGCTCCCCCCCCCCTCCCGGATAACCAGACCTACTGTGCCACGGACGATAAAAAGGAGCTACAGGGCATACACTGTGTCCGGATATGTCGGGGGGATTTCTGTAACGGACCAACGCCAGCTTCTGCGGTCACACGGCATCTTTCTGTATTTCTGTTTGTCCTAAGTCTATTCATTCATTTCTGTTGATTCGATGCAGTACGTTTGTCCGTGTACATGTACGGAGAAAACTTTTGACTCTCTTTATATACTGTAAAACAGAGTTGTTTCCGCCCATGGTATTCTATACACAACATCACTCGTGAGAGCCGAATTTGATACTAAAAGAGGTTTAAAAAATCGGATGAATTTTTTTTAAAAATTCTGTCTGAATGATGTTTATTAGCAAGGACTTTCACAAGTACTACGTACTCTCAATAAATGACCAATATGGATAGAACTACCCATTGGACCTGAATCCTACACCAACGGGTAATGAAGTTAAAATTTTGATGGAGTCCTATTTGATCAAAACAATGCTTTGCCGAGGGAAATTTTCGAAGATTAAGCATTCATGATAACTGTTTTATTCCGACTCTTCAAATTCTAGAATTTTATAATTGGGGGAAAGGAAGGGATAGCCATTGGTCACCAGCGTGGTCTAATAAGGATACTTGAAAAAGAAATATGTATATATACCTATATACAGACTTAACTTAAGAAATCGAGGATCCGCTCCCTCTGCTCTTCCCGACCTGCCTGCATGGTTGGGCACTGGTATTTAAATTCTTTACTGTGCACACAAGAAGAACAAATATGGCTCTTCGTCTAATTATGCACCCGGTCAATTCAATGGAGGGACATTCCCAAGACTGAAACGAAAGAAGAATCGTGAACCGGGAAGTAGGTAGGTGTCCGCCATGGAGTTGTTTCTGACACTGTTCCTGTGTCCAGTCTTGGTTGGGCAGGTTTACGGGAGAGAAGTACAATGTAAGTCAATTATTAAATTGATTCTACGAATATACATGTATCTTTTAAAAAAAAAAGCATAAAAAGTTCATTTTTCTTACTAAAAGACAAAAGGTAATGTAGGCTATAATTTCTTAAATATGTGAAACTTTTTGTAGCCAAGATATATCATTGTTACCAGTGTGCGGATACTAAAGTGGACGGAAATTGTCAGACGAAGATAAAAACTATGGCAAAGGCTGCCGGGTACTTTCAAGATCCAGCTACATCTGATGTGGATAACGATAAAATAGATCTGTACAGACAGTATGTTAAAAACTGTACAGTGTATCTCAGTGGGAGCCAAGAAACACTCTGTGTCATGGAAACTCACGAATACAGAGGTAAGAAACTCCATTTTATATTTTTTGTTGAAAAATGTATGTAATTGTGTAGGTCAGTTACATATGTCAAGAAAATTATAGTTTTAAGCCTCTTATAACTGAGAATTTTCCCCTTCCCATCGCTAGACTAAACTCCATAGAACGTTAAAATCGAATTCCGATATTCATAATTTATCGAAATGCATCTCAACAGAAAAGGGTAAAAAGTTGTTTTTTAAAGTTTAGTAGTAAATGACAAGCTTATTAAAGTTAGATTTTTTCCCTTATCGATACATTTACGTGTATTGTGAATATGATTTTTTTTAATATTCATTAATCCTGAATCCCTTTTCCGACAAAAAATTATATTGTCAGAATTAAATGATAAATTTATCAGATGGCTGCAATGTTAAGTTCACAATAAGTTGTCATAATACAAATGACAATACATGTACATGTACGATAAACGATTGGTGAGGAAAAAAATCTAAAAACGTATAAATGTATTTTTGTGTTTTATAAGATTATTATTAATTTTACATTATTTTTAATAATTAGGCCAAGTGAATATGTTTATGAGAGACTGCACCGATGGAGTAAATTTTTCCGCGGAATTTACATCTCCGCAGCGCCCCCGCGCGGACAATCAGACGTACTGTGATAGGAAAGGTGATCTCGGGACCTACTGCGTCACTATGTGTCGGGGGGATTTCTGTAACGGACCGGAGCCTTCAGCTGCCGACAATCCTCGTCTATCCGTGTGTCTGTTGTTAACGAACTTCCTTATTTACATGTGTCAAGTTTTTCATTAATGTACCAAGAGTGGATTTTTTGCTTTGTTACAAAATCTGAATGTATTGTAAACGAAATATACGATATGTTCTTTTCTTAGTTGGACTTTGATTGCGTAAAGACAGTCCCAGAAGAAAACCTGATTTAAACGTCCCCCGTCCTTAAAATATGACATCAGATTATTTTTAAGAAGAAGCGAAAGCACCGAGTCCGTTTTTAGAGGGAGACAATGTTTTTATTTTTGATACTCCTAAAAGTAGTTCATATTTCATAATATTTTGGTATTAACTACAAATCCATTTTGCCCCCATCAATTTATTGAATGAGATCATTAAACGCCATTTGTACACTCTGAAGCTTCGTTCTAGTGACTCCCCTCTTAAACTTTTAAAATACACTTTATAAATTATTGGCTTTGTTTGTTTTAGCTATCTTGGAGGAACAATCATTCTTACAAGCTATTGAATGTACATGTATTTAGACGTTCGTGTAAATATGCATACCTCTTAAATTATGCTAAAATCATGTGTTAACGTTTGGAATAAATTAATTTTTGAGAAGGGTTAGTTTGTTTTCCTCCTTTTTTTCTAACTGATTATATCATGAACATGTCATCATATTGTTATAAGGGGAGAAAATTACACGAACTAACGTGTCAATTTAATTTATTTTCCCGTGCGTTGTACATATTAGTTTATTATTAGAGAGGGTAAGTGAGGAATTACTTTGTAATTTGATTTTTTTTTTTTTTTTTTGATATATATACATTTTTTTTTTACATGTACTAGTATTTTTCTTTAATAGAAATGTGTATATAGATCTATAGAATTACGAGAGAGAGAGAGAGAGAGAGAGAGAGAGAGAGATTTTAAAATTTGTTTTCACCTTATCCATTGGTGTCAATTTTCCTTTTTTATCATGTTTTATTATATAAATATTTTGTTTGGTAAAATAAAAGTCAAGTATGATATTGAACAGTACATGTACTTTTAAATGACAATCATCAAGACAAGTTTTAAACCAAAGGAAATCCGATGCCCAGGTTTTCGTTCTATGTACAAAGAATTCTAAGAATTGTGGCAATAAAGATTTTGTTACTATATTTAATCTAGGAGTTGTTGTTCTTGACTTGTGAATTGCCTTGTTGCCATTTATAGATACGATTTGATATCTAAAATGAACTCCTGAATGAAAAACACTTCAGTTTCTTTTTTCTTTCAATTTCCCATTTGGCTTAATTAACAGTATCAAAAATATACTTCCTTTATTCAACTTGGAGAAATTCGACTTCACTAAGGACAAAATAATTTTATCTTCAAGAGAACGTTACAATTTAGGCCAGGTAAAATTAATCTTTAGATTCTCATCCTAATTTACTAAAAAATTGGGGCGGGTGGGCGGATTTTATTTTTTATTTTTTGTAATTGTTAATTTATATATAGGCCTAAGTATCAACAAAACAATGGACGCCACGTACACATTTTTTTTCATTACCTTAATGCAAATATGAATAGATTTAATTCTTTTCATATTCTTTTAAATATTTAAAGAAAATTTTTGCTTTAAAAATTAAATATTTATTGTTAATTAACAAGTTATCAAGTACACATTATACGGCACACCCTGAACAAAATGAGGTAGGGATGCGTGACTTTTTATTTTGCAAAATCTAAATGTTCTAATAATTATTCTACTGAAAAATCTAGGCCTTCTCATAAGTCTGTCTACGATGTTGTAGATTTTGTTTATTTCAAAGCAAAGTCACACAGCTGGAGATCGTTATATATAACTTGACCAGGTGTCATTTTACTCGTCTATTTTTACTTAGTTACAATCTCTCTACATACTCGCTCCTGCCAGTGATGGTATCTATATGTGTTTATGCTATTTTTTCTTCTCTGCCTTCTCTATACTGACAAATTATCTTTTCCTTACACATTTAAACTTCTTTTATTGCCGATTTTTCTCCATTCTTCACATGGCGTTTTTGCTATTAATAGCAACACGCGACTTTTAATACAGACGGGAGATAACTCTTAAACTTTGAACCAAATTCTTACTGAATAAAAATACATGAAAATACCCAAAAATCAAAGTAAAAAAACATCGGGGCGGGACATTTTGAGAGGGGCGGGCGGGGATGAGAATCTAAAGATTAATTTTATATGGCCTTATCCAATTGACATTTCCAAACAATATTTTTCGAAGTTTTAGATTTTTACTTTAAATATTAAAAATTCAAATTTCCAAAAACGATTTTGGTATCTTTCATCTATCGCTTGTTTGGAAAGTTTACATTTAGCAATCTAAAACTCAGTACAATTTTCCGTATTTTGATATTTGAAAAGAAACTTCAAACATCTAAGTTTTAAGGACGTTCGATCCTGTCGATTTTGGTCTTGACTTTTATTTCTAAGATTCTGCATCATTTTTAAGTTTTAACCTTGAATTTAGATTCTACAATGCAAATTAAACTAATCCATTGCAAAAACCGCAAATTAAATTCCATTCAAGACGGATTAAGCCAGGAACTATATTTTGTGGTGGAAGATTTTTTTTCGAAGAAAATTATCATTTTTTCCCTTTTGAACTATATACAGTACTGTTAATTTTAGGTTGCATACAAAGCTGTCTTTTGCAGTGAAATTCGTTAAGCATGTTCTGAAATAACTATCAAATTATTTCTTATGAATTCTTTAGACGAATTAATGACAAATATGGTAAATATATATATATTCTGAAAGTTCAGGGGGAAAAATGAGCTAATTTTAACATAAAATTGACACATTTTTAGTATTATCTAAAGATTTACATCATATACCCCACTTTTGATTGATTGATTGATTGATTGATTGTATACTGTTTAACGTCCCTCTCCAGAATATTTCACTGATATGGAGACGTCACCATTGCCGGTGAAGGGCTGCAAATTTAGGCCTATGCTCGGCACTTACGGCCTTTGAGCAGGGAGGGATCTTTATCGTGCCACACATGCTGTGACACGGGGCCTCGGTTTATACGGTCTCATCCGAAGGACCGCCCCATTTAGTCGCCTTTTTACGACAAGCAAGGGGGGTACTGAGGACCTATTCTAACCCGGATCCCCACGGGGCCCCCACTTTTGATGTTCTTTTTTCAATATTTAAGATAACATTGACCTAACTGCTTAAATTCTGCAAAAGTTTAAGACTTTGAAATAATTTTCTTGCTTATTAAATTTTCAATGCCAGAAAAATCATATTTTGTGAGTGCAGAAAGGTCAAACAATTGATTTTGCGTAGCAGTTTGAAACTTTTATTTAGTAACAATTTTATAGTGTCTTTTTAAAAATAGACTGATAATTTATTTTGTTCCATTCTTTATTTGAATAAAAATATTGGAGGGAAAACGTTGAAGATGTAATTTTTAGGTCACCTGAGTAACTCAGGTGACCTATTGCTATCCGTTTTCGTCCGTCGTCGTCCGTCGTCCGTCGTGCGTCGTGTGTTAACATTTGAACATTTTCAGCTTCTTCTCTGAAACCACTGAACCAATTTCAACCAAATTTGGTATACAGCATCTATGGGTAAAGGGGAACAAAAATTGTGAATTTCATGGTCCCCGCCCCCCTGGGGCCTAAGGGGTGGGGCCAAAACCACTAAAATTAATGAAATCTTTAAAAATCTTCTTCTTTACTCCTGGACATCAAGCAGGCAAACTATTGGCATGAATGTAATGAGCATTGAGTCCTCTACCAAAATTGTGAAATTCATGGCCCCAGGGTCAGGGGTTCTAGTGGCTAGGGCGGGGCTCTATAGATTATAAAGTGAAAATGCATTATTTCTTTGAAAATCTTCTTCTCTGCTCCTGGGTATCAAATACACTAACTAAGCACATAGTTATGATGAGCAAGAGTGCCTCTTCCAGATTTGTGAATTTCATGGCCCCAGGGTCAGGGGTTCTGGTGTAAGGGCGGGGCTCTATAGATTATATAGTGAAAATGCATTATTTCTTTGAAAATCTTCTTCTCTGCTCCTGGGTATTAAATACACTAAATAAGCACAAAGTTATGATGAGCAAGAGTGCCTCTTCCAAAATTGTGAATTTTATGGCCCCAGGGTCAGGGGTTCTGGTGTTAGGGCGGGGCTTTATAGATTATATAGTGAAAATGCATTATTTCTTTGAAAATCTTCTTCTCTGCTCCTGGGTATTAGATAAACTAACTAAGCACATAGTTATGATGAGCAAGAGTGCCTCTTCCAAAATTGTGAAATTCATGGCCCCAGGATCAGGGGTTCTGGTGTAAGGGCGGGGCTCTATAGATAATATAGTGAAAATACATTATTTCTTTGAAAATCTTCTTCTCTGCTCCTGGGTATTAAATACACTAAATAAGCACATAGTTATGATGAGCAAGAGTGCCTCTTCCAAAGTTGTGAATTTTATGGCCCCAGGGTCAGGGGTCTGGTGTTAGGGCGGGGCTCTATAGATTATATAGTGAAAATGCATTATTTCTTTGAAAATCTTCTTCTCTGCTCCTGGGTATTAGATTAACTAACTATGCACATAGTTATGATGAGCAAGAGTGCCTTTTCCAGATTTGTGAATTTTATGGCCCCAGGGTCAGGGGTTCTGGTGTTAGGGCGGGGCTCTATTGATTATATAGTAAAAATACATTTATTCTTTGTAAATATTTTTCTTTGCTTCTGGGTTTTAAGCCAATGATCCAAGTATATATATATTTATGATGAAGAAAGGTGCATCTAGCAAAGTGGTTTTTAATGCCCCCAGGGTCAAAGGGGTTCCTTTGGGGTGAGGTGCACAACTGCTTATAAAGTGGAAGTGCATTTTCTCTTTGTTACTCTGATCTACCTCTGGGTATTAAGTAAATAGAGTAAGCATGCTAAGTTAAAGCTGACATGAACTCTTAAAAAGGCATCAGTTTTCATCTTTGTACGACTTACTACGTTCCTGTACGCCCTTGTCCGCCATATTTCTTCGATTCCGCCATATTAAATCGAAAAATTTGGGCCACCTGTACCTGTTATATAAAGCCTCGCTGATTTGTTTCACTTGAGTGATTTTCTAGCTTGACTGTCGACATGTACACATCTCCGATATCATAGTAGTCATAAATCCATAAACTGACCAATTACATGTTTTAAAAGTAAAAATCCAACAAAAACTTGAACTATGCAGAGAAGTAAATTATTTTTGAATGCATGTGCATTTGCAAAATAGGAAAAAAAAACAACAACACGGAATACATTCATGTATACCTGTCAGCAAAAACCGTTTGAATATCCACGCCTGCAGGTCGAGAATACGCATCGAACGCAGTGATAAAAAAATTACCTGAATACTGCTATCGTTACAGGGATGTGCACATGTCGAAAGAAATGTCCTATTTTACTTTTATTGAAATATGCATCTCAGAAGTCATGTAATCCATTGCTAACTCTACAGTAAAAAAGTCACCACATAGTACTTGGTCCACGACGATCAGTTTATTTGGTCAGGGGAAATTTCAAAGGTGGAAATCTCACTGGAATTTTGGTTGATTGAAAAAAAATGCAAATATTTTTTTTTCTCAAATTTACTACTGTCTGTATATATAAATATGAACAAAATTTATAAACATACCTTAACTACATCAAATCTATTTTATAGCATGCATCATTACGAATCTCTCATCTTTTGACGAGATTTTTCTTGTGAAAGGAGGGGGTTGGGGTGGGGGGAATGCATAACAGTCTCCTAATATAAATAAATTAAACATCTGAAAAATTCATTACGATCAATTATTTTTAAAAAAAAAATATTGTGTACCGGCATTTTTTTTTTTAAATATAGACCTAATATAACTTGATTTAAAGTTATTTATAATTTTTTACACAATAAACGAGTTTGATTCTGTGGTATATGAATGATCAAAATAGAATTAATTAGTGGATCCAGATGGGGCGAGTTTTGGGGGGTTGGAACCCCCCTTTATTTTCGTACACACACAGAGAGATTTTTTATTTCTATGATATAGATATTTATGCGTCGAATAATTTGAAGTAATAAAAAAAACTCTGTCTTTTCTGCTCGGTAGATCTGTAGATGTATGCAGATTTGCTTTCCTC